TCACATGCGTCCACTATGTCAGGCCTACCAGCTGGAAATCGGTGTCAACTTGGAGCAGGCATGGAGGGGTGCGAATTGGGTGCGTTATTGTACTGGCCACACAGAATGAGTGTCACATGCTTCTATTATGTCAGGCCTATCAGGTGGAAATCAGTGTCAACTTGAAGCAGGCATGGAGGGGTGCGAATTGGGTGCGTTATTGTACTGGCCACACAGAATGAGTGTCACATGCTTCCATTCTGTCAGGCCTACCAGCTGGAAATCAGTGTCAACTTGGAGCAGGCATGGAGGGGTGCGAATTGGGTGCGTTATTGTACTGGCCACACAGAATGAGTGTCACATGCTTCCATTATGTCAGGCCTACCAGCTGGAAATCAGTGTCAACTTGGAGCAGGCATGGAGGGGTGCGAATTGGGTGCGTTATTGTACTGGCCACACAGAATGAGTGTCACATGCTTCCATTATGTCAGGCCTACCAGCTGGAAATCAGTGTCAACTTGGAGCAGGCATGGAGGGGTGCGAATTGGGTGCGTTATTGTACTGGCCACACAGAATGACGAGTGTCACATGCTTCCATTATGTCAGGCCTATCAGGTGGAAATCAGTGTCAACTTGGAGCAGGCATGGAGGGGTGCGAATTGGGTGCGTTATTGTACTGGCCACACAGAATGAGTGTCACATGTTTCCATTATGTCAGGCTTACCATTCGCTTTGTCATGGCTGAAGTGTCAGCTGGCTCGCTCAGACCTTGACAGCTCGAGCAGTTTGACAGACCGTTAAGCTGCTCGAGCTGTCAAGGTCTGAATGAGCCGCTCGCCGCTTGGCTGGTGCTATGACTCTGTTTTGGTTGATGATACCTTTAAGTTTGCCAAGTGTCACCATGTCGACGACAGTTCACTAAAGTCAGGTCTTCCTCCTGGGCATCAGTGTCAACTTAGAGAAGGCACGGATGGAGGGGTGCGTGTTCGGTGCGTTAGTGTACTGGCCACACAGAACGAGTGTCAAGTGATTCCGTTATGTCAGGCTTACCGTCTGCTTTGTCATGGAATGAAGTGTCAGCTGGCTCTCTCAGACCTTGACTCCTCGAGCAGTTTGACAGACCGTCAGCTGCTCGAGTGGTCAAGGTCTGAATGAGCCGCTCGCCGCCTGGCTGGTGCTACTCTGTTTTGGTTGATGATTCCTCTGCCAAGTGTCACCATGTCGACAAGCAGTTACGGTGCAGTGGATGTCGATGAGTGTCAATCCATTAAAGTCAGGTCCTCCTCCTGGACATCAGTGTCAACTTGGAGAAGGCAGGCAGGTTTGCGTATTGGGTGCGTTATTGTCCTGGCCGGTCAATTGCTCCTTAATGTCAGGCTTACCAGCTGGACATCAGTGTCAACTTTGAGCAGGCATGGAGGGTGTGTGTTGGGACCCAATAGGCCCCCTCCATGCGTGCTCAAAGTTGACACACCTACCAGCTGGAGATCAGTGTCAACTGTGACAAGGCAGGCAGGGGTGCGTATTGGGTGCGTTATTGTACTGGCCACACAGAATGAGTGTCAAATGCATCCACTATGGCAGGCCTTCGTCTTGGAGATCAGTGTCAACTTGGAGCAGGCATGGAGGGGTGCGTCTTGGGTGCGTTATTGTACTGGCCACACAGAATGAGTGTCACGTGTTTCTATTATGTCAGGCCTACCAGCTGGAAATCAGTGTCAACTTTGAGCAGGCATGGAGGGGTGCGCATTGGGTGTGTTATTGTACTGGCCACACAGAATGAGTGTCACATGCTTCCATTATGTCAGGCCTACCAGCTGGAAATCAGTGTCAACTTGGAGCAGGCATGGAGGGGTGCGAATTGGGTGCGTTATTGTACTGGCCACACAGAATGACGAGTGTCACATGCTTCCATTATGTCAGGCCTATCAGGTGGAAATCAGTGTCAACTTGGAGCAGGCATGGAGGGGTGCGAATTGGGTGCGTTATTGTACTGGCCACACAGAATGATTGTCACATGTTTCCATTATGTCAGGCTTACCATTCGCTTTGTCATGGAATGAAGTGTCAGCTGGCTCGCTCAGACCTTGACTCGTCGAGCAGTTGGACAGACCGTCCAGCTGCTCGAGTGGTCAAGGTCTGACTGAGCCGCTCGCCGCATGGCTGGTGCTATGACTCTGCTTTGGTTGATGATTCCTCTGCCAAGTGTCACCATGTCGACGACAATTCACTAAAGTCAGGTCTTCCTCCTGGGCATCAGTGTCAACTTAGAGAAGGCATGGATGGAGGGGTGCGTGTTCGGTGCGTTAGTGTACTGGCCACACAGAACGAGTGTCAAGTGATGTCAGGCTTACCGTCTGCTTTGTCATGGAATGAAGTGTCAGCTGGCTCGCTCAGACCTTGCCTGTTGGAACAGTTTTTCGGAGAAAAACTGTTCCAACATGCAAGGTCTGAATGAGCCGCTCGCCGCCTGGTTGGTGCTATGACTCTGTTTTGGTTGATGATTCCTCTGCCAAGTGTCACCATGTCGACAAGCAGTTACGGTGCAGTGGATGTCGATGAATGTCAATCCATTAAAGTCAGGTCTTCCTCCTGGACATCAGTGTGAACTTGGAGAAGGCACGCAGGTTTGCGTATTGGGTGCGTTATTGTACTGGCCACACAGAATGAGAGTCAATTGCTCCTTAATGTCAGGCTTACCAGCTGGACATCAGTGTCAACTTTGAGCAGGCATGGAGGGTTTGTGTTGGGACCCAGTAGGCACCCTCCATGCGTGCTCAAAGTTGACACACCTACCAGCTGGAGATCAGTGTCAACTGTAACAAGGCAGGCAGGGGTGCGTATTGGGTGCGTTATTGTACTGGCCACACAGAATGAGTGTCAAATGCATCCACTATGGCAGGCCTTCGTCTTGGAGATCAGTGTCAACTTGGAGCAGGCATGGAGGGGTGCGTCTTGGGTGTGTTATTGCACTGGCCACACAGAATGAGTGTCACGTGTTTCCATTATGTCAGGCCTACCAGCTGGAAATCAGTGTCAACTTTGAGCAGGCATGGAGGGGTGCGCATTGGGTGTGTTATTGCACTTGCCACACAGAATGAGTGTCAAATGCTTCCATTGTCAGGGTGTCAAGACAGATTTTGGTTTCTGCCTGCTCTTGCAGGCCACCATCGTCTGAGCTGCCAGTGTCAGTGGCTGCTGATTGTCGCGTTTTTCTTGTTACCACTGTTGACATTCCACATGATCGCGGGAGAAAAAGAGTGAGTGATTGCTGCTTGGTGTTGCATTCACATGGATGCACAAAAACAGCCCGGATCCATAAATAATTTTCAGGGCTGCCAAAGCCCATCCCAGCATTGCAAACCTCTTGAGCCGGAGAACCCCGAAACCTTCAAAACCAGTTTGGGCTCTGAGGGCCCAAGAGTTGATGCATTGAGCTTCCAAAAGTGGGAGTTCAATCTTTTAGGCGGTACCCCTTAAATCCTTGGGCACAATGCCAATGGCTTGAATCCTGTCAAGCATCTTGGCGTGCTTCTTGGTTGAATGGTCCGCAGAGGTCTTGCATCCCTACTTACTTGGAGGGTTATGCGTGGTTATAAGTAGGGTTGTAAGTAGGATAACCCATGGTTGTAACCAATATTAGGGGACTTATAACACCACTTACTTATAACTTATAACTACCCATGGACCTCCGAGTAGACCCGAAACCCTATACCCTTATAGAATATCTAGAGATCCCTTAGAAGGGACCCAAGAAACCCTTACAAGTAACCCCTTCGTCCGCAGCGTTTCAGCTTGGCCTGTGTTCTCGAAGCCTGGCGCCACGGCCATGCAGGAGCCTTTGGAGGCCCGGGTTCCTCAAGTTTTCTACAGGTTTAGGGTTTAGAGCTAAGGGTTCAGGGTTTAGAGTTTAGAGCTTTACGGGTTACCGTTCAGGTTTTAGGGTTCAGAGTTTAGGGTTTAAGGCTTAAGGGCTCTCAGCGATTTCAGGAGGGTTCAGGGCTGTAGGAATTCAGGGTTTGTAGGAAATAGTAGTAGCATTCCCTTCCAGCCCAATACCCCTTAATTAAGGAATATAGCTTAAACAATAATTTGAAGCCCCATATAATTTTAAGCCATATTCCTTAATTAAGGGGTGTTGGGCTCTCTGGGTAGTCAGGGATTTTGGGTTTTGGCAGCGATATTCCGTTGGGCTTCAGCGGCTTGGACAGAAGGTCGCATTCCCCATACGCCCAAGGTCCTCCACAATGTTTTGATCGCCCACACCCTGAACCCCAACCCTTGACTAAGCCCAAAACCCTAAATAAATCTTCAACAAACTCTAAACGAACCTCTAAACCCTAAATACATCTCAAACAAACTCGAAATCAACTTCTAAACCCCTGAACCCTAAACCGGAATATCCCAACTACGGCAGCACCCGAAGGACCGAGTCGAGACTCGAAAACCCATACCGTCGGGTCGTAAAGCCCTCAGCCCAAAACCCGAAGCCCTGAAACCTTGAAGCCCCAAAGCCTCAAAATCCCTAAACCCTAAACTTCTAAACCCTAAAGCCTTAAAGCCCCAAGACGGAAACGTCTTAAAAGCCCTAAGAGCCCCCTAAAGCCCTGAAGTCCGAATCTTAAAAATCCTCAGACTCGGCGTCGGGAAGCCTCCCAAACCTCTGAAGGTATAGGATTCCGACTGTTGATGATATAAATCCTGCATGACCTTAAGGACCCTAAACTATGGGAATTACGGTATATTCCTTATTATGGGTACTGCAGGATTTATATCATCAACCCTAGGCTTGCAATTTTGGGGTTTAGGGTTCAGGGTTTAGGGTTTAACCCTTCGCAAATGCTTCCTCTGTGCTGTTGGAGCCTTGTCAACCCCTTATGGAACCCTCCCAAAGCCATCAAGACCCCTTCAAAGACCCTAAACCAAAACTTTCAAAAGCCTTGAAAAGTCGACAAAAATCTGAAAAAGCACCGAAACAAGACGTGGAGGTCGAAGACCTCATACCGGCCGGAGCAGCAACTATGAGCCGAGACAGTCAGACCTCGGCGATGTGCCTGGGAACTTGATCTGGGTGTGGGGTTCCATAATGGTGACTATACGGATTAGACAAGGGCTCCTGTGAGGGTTTTGGTAGAGTTTGGGTTCAGTGTTTTGGGTGCAGGATAAGGTGAGCAGCCATAGCGGAAATATAACCCCACCTAAACCCTAAAATTTGCGCCCGCATGACTGTAGCACAAGTGGGGGCCTCGGCGCATCGTAATGACAAACCCAAGGCCCAAACTCTGTAACCTCCTAAACCCCGCCCAAAAAACCCTAAGCCCTAAACCCCAAGACCTTCATCCCCAAATCCAAGACCCTAAACCCTGAACCCGAAACACAAAAGGCACCCAGTCTGTCAGAATCTCGTCCTTTCATCACCGCTGTGTGTGTAACCAGAGATCGCGGGCCGGAGCCACCGTGGAGCCTCAACCCTGATACCCTAAACTCCCTGGTTCTTAGTAGGGAATGGGGGAATGGATATTGGGGACTATTATTGGGGGATTATATAGGGACTACTATAGGGATCCATTCTGCCAATCCCTACTAAGAACCAGACAGTAACTAGGATGCCCAGTAGTACCCTTATTCCCTTTTTGTAGTCCTAGGTTCCTTATAAAGTTACCCAATAACAAAAAGAGAGGCCTTTTTATTCTTAGGTTACTGGGTACCCTAGGTAAAGCCACGAAGCCGGGAAGCTGAAGTCAACCCTAATGCCCAACGCCCCAAACCGCTAAAGCCCTAAAGGCCCTAAAGCCCTAACCCAATGCCAGCCGCTTAGTAAGTAAGGTTATAAGTACCTTAATAGGGGTTATAAGTAGGTATAAGTAGAGTTACCCTAATTATAACCCTAGTTACTAAGCCCCATGATCCTTTAAGTAACCGCCCCAATGCCAGCCCCGTAAACTCGTTTTCCCCGAAAGCCGCGGCCCACAGGACCCCAAACCCTAAAACTTTGCTGAGTAGAAAACCGTTAACCTTTTTGGGGTTTATATGATCCTACGGTTGATGTTATAAATCCTGCATTACCCATAAGAAGGAATGTGCCATAATTCCCATGGTTTAGGGTCCTTAAGGTAATGCAGGATTTGTATCATCAACCGTGCCACAATTGAAGAAGGGCTAGGGCACTCGGTCCCTAAGATACCCTAAACCCTAAGCCCTGATATAGTCATAGAGACCCTACGTTCTACTATCTAGGTACTCGGTTCCTAAGAAAACCCCAGGACCACTCAACAACTGCTCGTCGTCTGCGGGCTGGCCTTGCTCACTAGGTTTTTTACGAACCTGGAGGCTCTTGGGAACGGTTTAGGGTTAAGGGGTTTAGGGGTTTAGGGTTTAGGGTTTTTTTTGGGAGGTTCGGGACACGGGGGCTTTTGGGATCTGGGGTTTAGGGTTCTGCGGCTCTCGGGTCTTCGGGGCGTTTGGGGTTGGGGTTTGGGGGTTTATGGTGTTGGTGAGTGTAAGGCAGGTGCTCCTTTTGGCAGGATTTGCGCGAGTGGAGGAGCTGCTTAGTTGCTTAGAAGTAGTTTTACGGTTTAGGGTTTAGGGTTTAAGGTTTAGGGTTTAGGGTTCAAGGTTTAAGGTTTAGGGGTTTAGGGTTTAGGGGCTTAGTAGTAGAGTAGGCAGGCGTTAATCCTTTTGGGGTACTATATTCCCTATGTAATCCCAAAGGTCAACCTTTTAGGTTTTCGGGATACTCTTGGCTGCAAAGTGGGGTTTGTGCGAGGAAACCCTAAACCCCAACACCCAGAATCCTAATCCCTAAGCCCCAAACCCCAACCCCCTTGTCCCTGATTCCCTAAGCCCTAAACCCTGAACCATAAACCCTAAAACCCCAAACCGCAAACGCTTCAACCCTAAACCCCTAAACCCTGGGCCCCGAGATGCCTTCAGGCGATACCGGGCATGTCCACTCTGTCCATGGCCTGCTGCTGCGTCTCTCAGCCGAGAATCACGGCGGTTCTCTAGTATGGCACCCTCCTCTAGGCTTTAGGGTTTCGGGTTTAGGGTTTAGGGTTTGGGGTGTTAGGGTTTGGGGTTTAGGCTTCAGGATTCAGGGTGTTGGGGTTTAAGGGTTTAGGGGTTTCGGGCTTAGGGGTCTACAGGGGGTTTGGGGGGGGTTTTAGGCTTTGCGGTTTAGGGGTGTCGCAGGCCCCAGTCCGACGGCTCAGGTATTGGCAGAGGCCGTGGGGCCCTTGTGGCTCTTCCTGCTAAGCCTCGTGGGCGTGGGCATCATGCAAGGCCTCTCAACGTGGCTGGGCTCTTAAATTTCAGTTAGTATATTAAAGAAACCATATTTATTTACTATAGATCCTATGGTAACTTCATTTAAAATCCCTAAACCATAATAAAGAAGTCGTATTATTATTACTAAAGATCCTTATTATGGTAACTTCACTTAAAATCCCTAAACCATAAACCCTACAGCCCAGGCCCTAAATCCTAAACCCTAAGCCGTAAACCCTAAAGCCGTTAACAAGAGCCCAGGTGGGGCTACCTGCAGGCCGATGCCTTGCTGCTCCTTGGTTGAGCCTTCTGATGGGTTTAGGGTTTAGGGTTTAGGGTTTGATGGGTTTAGGGTTTAGGGTTTAGGGTTTTCCAAGGGTAAAAGGAGGGACCCTCAATAAGGACCCTAGGCATATTCCCTTAATATAGCCATTATATACCCATTATGGGGTAGGGGTCCTCAGTAAGGGTCCCTCCTTTTGCCCCCTTTGAGGTTTAGGGTTTAGGGTCTTGTCATGAGCCCAGAGCGGTGAGGCTAATCGTTAAGTAAGGCTCTTCATGTAATATATGGGCCTCAATAAAGACCTATACTATTTTGGAAGTTCCTTGTAATATAGTCTAACATACCCGCCCAAAACCGCATTCTAATCATTATTAAGGCCCCTATTATCATAGTACCCTTACACCAGCAGCCCTTATAGTAACCCTTATAAGGCCCTTTTAAAGGAACCCGATTCTATTTAAGGCCCCTATATTAAGGGACCCAGCTTTCGATTTTGGTGGTTTAGGAACCCTTTCACCCTCAAGTTTAGGGTCCAGTGCTTCAAAGGGCTCGAGTTTTGGGGTTTAGGGTTTAGGGTAGGGAAGGCTGGGATGGAGAGTAGAAACGTGTGTTGGGCCCTGGTGCTGCTTTGGGACAGTTTATATCTAAGCCTCAGCAGTTTGTTGATCTTCGAGGGTTCAGACAGAGGACATCCTGCAACGGTTGCTATTTTCACTTTTCTTGAGGGTTCCTGGGTAGCTACAAGCCAGATTCAGCGTTTTTAACTGGGTTTATAACCAATCGAAGGTCTAGTGACCATGAACTTTGAAGTACCTCAGGTTTCCCGAATATGACATAATTATACGAAAATATACTCCGAAACCCTATCCTAATCATTAAGAACCCTGTAGCCACAACAAGCTGGACCCTCAGCCCAGGATTTGCGTCCTCTTGCAGATACCGCTCAGCATCGCCTACTTGACACATCGAAGGCTTGTGAAGCTGCACCCAGAGCCTCGGCCGTTCAGCATCGTTGTTTTAGGGTTTAGGGTTTAGGGCTTTGGGTTTAGGGTTTAGGGCTGTTTGATTTTAGCATAGTATCAAGAAGGAACAACAGCTACAATGTAGACCCCTGATGAGCAGATTCCTTTTTTTCAGGACCTTCGTGTTGGGATCCTTATGACAAGCCTTTTGACTTTATGTTTCCGGGGCGAGAGCCTAAACCATAAACTCTCAACCCTACGCCCTAAACCGTTTCCCTGAACCGTAAAACTCCGTAAAACCTAAACCCTGCGCATGGAAAACGACCCTTGAAAAGAAGAGCAACATTGTTTTGAAATTAGTTGTGGGTAGTATCAGGGAGACCCCTTAAAGGGTTCTCTTCTTAACCCAACTGCTGGCTCTCTTTAAAAGGGACCTTATTGAGAGAGTCCATATCCCCAAGTGTACCCCTAATCCTGGCTCCTAGACCCAAGAACCGCCCAGGAGAGCGCGGTTGTCACACTGGCCTTTCCTTGCATCAACACCGCTTTGATCCTCGGCCATTCCTAAGACTATTATGTCTTCCCATTCAATCATTGGGTTTAGGGTGTATGAAAGAGCTGGAGCCCTGACATAAAACGCCTTGGGGTTTAGGGTTTAGGGTTTGTAGGTGCTGAGCGCGTATCAACTGAAACCCCTTAGCTAGCTTTGCGGTCCCAAAGCCCAAGCACTAAACTCTGAGCTCTAAGCCCTAAACCGTAAACCATCTTAAGCCCTAAACCTTTAAGGTTGTTTTCAACATTGACCCTGAAACTCTAAACCTTTGAGACATCTTTTTGTAATGTTGACCCTTAAACCCTGAACCATTAAGACATGTTTGAGAAGTATTGTCCCTTAAACCCTAAAGCTTTAAGACATTGGTTTAGAACATTAAACCCTAAACCCTTAAACCTTAAACCCTAAACCCCTAAACCTTAAACCCTACAAACCCCTGAGAGGTGGATTCTATCCTTCTTCTTCCTTCCCATCGGCTCCATCGCGAGCCCGGCCTACGACCTGGCGGGCCAGGCCTCGACGGCTCCGTCTGTTTAGGGTTTAGGGTTTGGGATTTAGGGTTTAGGGTTTAGGGTTTAGGATTAAGGGTTGAGGGTTTAGGATTTAGGGTTTAGAGTTTGTAGAAATTGTATAGGGTTCGGGTCCGGAGTTTCGAGCGAAAGTTTTGAGCGAAAGTTTTGTTTTTGTCTTTTGATCGGGCTGGGCTTAGGGGGGGTCTGAGCTTGGGGCTGGGGTTGGGGGTGGGGCTGGGGGCTGGGGCCGGGCCAGGCCGGACCGGTCGGCACCTCCCAGATCCCCGAAAGGATCTAGAAAGTAGATCCCCTAATGTGGGGCCTTATACTACTAAGGGTACCTTATAGGCATTAAGGGATCTACTTTTTGGATCCTCCCGGGGGTCTGGGTTGGGGCTGGTTGGTGCGGCTTGGTGTTGGATCGGCGTGTCTTCCTACACGTTTAAGGAAAATTGGAAGCTCATGAGGATGCAGTTCGAAGCGAAATTCACACAATGTCTATTTATCCCGTTCTTGAGGGTCTGGGGTTTAGGGTTTAGGGTTTCAGGGCTTAGAGTATGGGGCTTTAGGCTTTAACATGCTTTCTTGGGTTTGGGGGTTGAGTAGGTGTTTGTGGCACTTAAGCCCCGAACCCTAAACAGTAATCCCTGAACCCTAAACCCTAAACCGCAGGCTCTTATCCTGACACAATGTGCCGCGTGGTTTGGACGCAGCGGTGTCACCTTCGTCCTCAGCTGGCTGGCGGCGGCCGGTGCCCACCGATTTACCCACCCATCTGCAGTGCGGGGCTGGAGGCATTGTGAAGTAAAAGCTGGGCAGTTGGAATTTGGATATTTGGGTGCCCGGAGACTCAGAAGTATCAGAGCAGCTACAGTTAAGTTCTGAGAAGTAGAGCATGCAACATTTAACCTTTTCCGGGCAGTATAGTCCCCATACAAATCCCAAAGGTGAACCTCTAGTTCTCCTTGGATACAGCCAAGAGGAGGCTCTAAAAACCCTAAACCCTGGTTAAACCCTAAACCCTACACCAATAGACCCAAAACCCTAAACCTACAGTTGAGTTTTTCGGGCAGGGTTGAAGGGGATTTGGTCTCGCAGTTACTGCTGCCCGACTACCCAAAACACAGAACCAGGGATGATTCTTGGGCATGGGTTGCGGTGCAATAGTTGCCGTAACTTTAGTGGCAGTCGTCGTAGTAGTAGCAGTCGTCGTGCTGGCAGTAGCAATAGCAGTAGCAGCAGCAGTAGCAGTAGCGGGAGTAGTAGCGCAGAGTTTGAGTTTCTCGGAGCAGGAGCGGGGGTCGCGGTTGCAGTGGCAGTAAGGCAAGCAGGAGGAGAAGGAGAACTTTTCGAGCGGCAGCCTGAAACCTCAATTCCGCCGAAGCCACAGCAGCCCTTCATAGAACCCTTTTAGATTGCTTTAAAGGAACCCCCTTTAAAGGAACCCTAAACCCCTCAACCCCAAACCCCTCAACCCTGCATTCCGCATGCACTGCCAGGGCATCACTTTTAACTTTGCGCCTGGGCCTTCAAGATCATCAGGTTTTTTCCGGGCGGCAAAAGGAATATGGTTTCAATCTAGGGTTTAAGGTTTAGGGTTTAGGTTTAGGAGGGCTGATAGGGGTTTCTGGTGTAGGGTTAAGTGTTTAGGGTTTAGAGTTAAGGGCATGTTCTCTTCAATTTTTCAACTTTCCCAAGATACTAAGCCATAAAAGGAAAAGTAGCTTCATCCCCTGTCACAGAGTTTCAGTCCTGGATTTCGCCAAGAAGATTCTGTTCCAGGGTTTTCGGCAGTTTGTGAACAAACCCTAAACCCCTTTGAACCCTGAACCCTAAACCCTAAACCCTAAAACCCTATAAACCCTAACCCCCCCCAACCCACCCCAAACCCCTATAAGCCCTAAACATAACTTAGGTTATACTATAAAGGAACCCAAAACCACAGAATAGCTACATTTACTACTCCTCAGGGTTCCTCACTAACAATATACTTGAAAGGAGCCCAGAACCTCATAATGATTACCTATCTTGTTTGTTAGGGTTCCTTCATTCTTAAAGTGATACTCAAGAACCCCAAACCCCATTCTAATTATTAAGGCCCTGTACTGCGCAACCTGCGCCCTAACCCCTAAAGAAAGACACGAACGGAGCATCCAAGGTTCTCCCTTTGCCTCGCAGGGGGTGTCCGCTACTATGCGCCCACGACGTCACCAAGTCCTAAAGAGCTTTTGCATTGTTTCGGCTCTAGTGAGCTCAAACTTGTGAACTCTTAGAGCCGAAAACCTGAACCAGGTTTAGGGTGTCGGGTTTAAGAGACCAAAGCAAGGTTCATGGGCATGCAGTTCGAACCGCCGGGAGGAGAGCCGCAAGATTATTATCGGGTCAGCTGCATCAGCATGATGCGAGACATGTGCTCTTGCTCGAAAGTACCACCCTGTGCTTGGGTTTGGTCTTTTCACTCTAGGGTAAAACGATTGAGAACACAAGCCTAAGCTCATTTGAAGGTTCTAATTTCGAGGTCGGATCATGGCTAAGATTATCACCGTCTAGTTCCCGTGGAAAGTTCTAGGAGTACCCATAGTTTCGGACAAAGGGTCCCAGAAAGTAAACCCAATTCCTAAGCCCTCAAAATCCCAAGTTCCTAAATCCAACAGCTTACATCCTAAACCTTTGCTTCTGCGAAAACCACCATCCGAAGCGTAAGCCTTGGTGTGAGTGTTGGGGAATAAGGCACCCTAACCTAACCCACCCCCCTGACAGAGGTACTAGCTGAAGCCCAGGGTTAATTCTTGAAATCATCGCAAACGCAATAGACCCCCCAAAAGGCTTCTTCTAATTTTAAATTCCTTCTATTGCCCCTAGTCTTCTGAACTCTAAACCCTACCCCCTGAACCCCTAAACCCCTAAACCCTAAACCCTAAATCCCTATACCTTAAACGCCTGAAACCCTAAACCCCTCACTAAACCCCCTAAGCCCCTAAACCCTTAAACCCCAAACCCCAAACTAAACCCCCTAAGTCCCTAAACCTCGAAACCCTAAACCCCTAACTAAACCCCCTAAGCCCCTAAACCCCGAAACCCTAAACCCCAAACTAAACCCCTTAAGCCCCTGAACCCCCAAACCCTAAACCCCTCACTAAACCCTCGAAGCCCCTAAACCCCAAAACCCTAAACCCCAAACTAAACCCCCTAAGCCCCTAAACCCTAAACCCCTAACTAAACCCTCTAAGCCCCTAAACCCCTAACTGAACCCTAAGCCCCTGAAGCCCTAAACCCTAAACCTCTAAATCCCTATACCTTAAACCTCTGAAACCCTGAAACCCTAAACCCCTAAACCCCTAACTAAACCCCCTAAATCCCCCAAAGCCTGAAACTCCCCAACCCTGAAAGGATCACTTTAAAGGAGCTCGAAAAGGAACCCATCTGGATCCCTTAAAGGGAAGCCCTTGAAGGATCCCTGAAAGGGGACTGTAAGGATCCCTTAGGTACGGCGAGATTAAGGTACTTAACCCTAAGCCCCCAAACTCCTATATAACTAAACCCCTAAACTGAACCCTAAGCCCCCTAAACCCCCTGAACCCCTTAAGCCCCCAAACCCCTAAACCCTAAACCCCCCTAAACCCTCAAACTCCCAGGAACGGCGGGACCCTTAAAGGAACCCCTCTGGATCCCTTAAAGAGAGCCTTTCAAGGATCCCTTAAAGGGATCCCTAAAGATCCCTTAGGTACGGCGAGACCCAAAAGCGCCTCGAGGCCGGTGATACCATCGCTCCTTGGCTCGCGTACTTAGAGGCCCAAGGGACAAGCTCCTTAAAGGGATCTCTAGGGTTCCTTTTAAAGGGATCTCTAGGGTTCCTTTTAAAGGGATCTCTAGGGTTCCTTTTAAAGGGATCTCTAGGGTTCCTTTTAAAGGGATCTCTAGGGTTCCTTTTAAAGGGATCTCTAGGGTTCCTTTTAAAAGGATCTCTAGGGTTCCTTTTAAAGGGATCTCTAGGGTTCCTTTTAAAGGGATCTCTAGGGTTCCTTTTAAAGGGATCTCTAGGGTTCCTTTTAAAGGGATCTCTAGGGGTTCCTTTTAAAGGGATCTCTCGGGTTCCTTTTAAAGGGATCTCTAGGGTTCCTTTTAAAGGGATCTCTAGGGTTCCTTTTAAAGGGATCTCTAGGGTTCCTTTTAAAGGGACCTCTAGGGTTCCTTTTAAATGGATCTCTAGGGTTCCTTTTAAAGGGATCTCTAGGGTTCCTTTTAAAGGGATCTCTAGGGTTCCTTTTAAAGGGATCTTTAGGGTTCCTTTTAAAGGGATCTCTAGGGTTCCTTTTAAAGGGATCTCTAGGGTTCCTTTTAAAGGGATCTCTAGGGTTCCTTTTAAAGGGATCTCTAGGGTTCCTTTTAAAGGGATCTCTAGGGTTCCTTTTAAAGGGATCTCTAGGGTTCCTTTTAAAGGGATCTCTAGGGTTCCTTTTAAAGGGATCTCTAGGGTTCCTTTTAAAGGGATCTCTAGGGTTCCTTTTAAAGGGATCTCTAGGGTTCCTTTTAAAGGGATCTCTAGGGTTCCTTTTAAAGGGATCTCTAGGGTTCCTTTTAAAGGGATCTCTAGGGTTCCTTTTAAAGGGATCTCTAGGGTTCCTTTTAAAGGGATCTCTAGGGTTCCTTTTAAAGGGATCTCTAGGGTTCCTTTTAAAGGGATCTCTAGGGTTCCTTTTAAAGGGATCTCTAGGGTTCCTTTTAAAGGGATCTCTAGGGTTCCTTTTAAAGGGATCTCTAGGGTTCCTTTTAAAGGGATCTCTAGGGTTCCTTTTAAAGGGATCTCTAGGGTTCCTTTTAAAGGGATCTCTAGGGTTCCTTTTAAAGGGATCTCTAGGGTTCCTTTTACAGGGATCTCTAGGGTTTCTTTTATAGGGATCTCTAGGGTTCCTTTTTCAGGGATCTCTAGGGTTCCTTTTAAAGGGATCTCTAGGGTTCCTTTTAAAGGGATCTCTAGGGTTCCTTTTAAAGGGATCTATGGGGTTCCTTTTAAAGGGATCTATGGGTTCCATTTAAAGGGATCTCTAGGGTTCCCTTTAAAGGGATCTCTAGGGTTCCTTTTAAAGGGACCTCTAGGGTTCCTTTTAAAGGGATCTCTAGGGTTCCCTTTAAAGGGATCTATGGGGTTTAGGGTCTCCTTAAAGGGATTTCTAAAGTTTTTTCAAGGGATCTCTATGGTTCCTGTTAAAGGGATCTATGGGGTTTAGGGTTTAGGCTCTACTTAGAGCATCATGGGACTTAGTAAGTGAGGTCATAAGTACCTTAACTGGGGTATAAGTTGCTATAAGTAGAGCTACCCTAATTATTATCCTAGTTGCTCAGTCCCATGAACCTCTAAGTCGTAGCTGAGTCGTCAACCTTGAACCTGCTAGGGTGTAGGGTTCATTGTTTAAGGATTAGGGTTCTTCGGAGAATCAAAGCGCGGAAGCTAGGTGGAGTTTAGGGGTCAGTTGTTAGGGGTTAGGGGTTTAGGGTGTGTAGGGTTTAGGGGTTTGGGGTTGAGGGTTCAGGGTTTTTATAATCCTACCATAACTGACAAGGTTATAGAACCTTTTTTCGGAGAGGGAACTCGGCCCCTAAGTCGGGTGTACGGTTTTGGTATATATATATATATATATATATGTACAGATATATATATATATATATGTATATATACGCCTTTGTATACGTGCATACGTACATATGTATACACTTGTATGCACACGTACACTTGAATGAGAGTTTTCTTGAGTTGCTGTTGGATTTACGGCGGAAGGTTCTTCAGAGGTTCTAGGATGCCCAGTAGTACCCTTATTCCCTTTTTGTAGTCCTAGGTTCCTTATAAAGTTACCCAATACCAAAAAGAGAAGCCTTTATTCTTAGGTTACTGGGTATCCTAGGGTTTGTCGGAGGCTGTCGGTCCAGAGGCGAGGCGCTCGGGTTGCAGCTGTTACCTGTAGCCGCAATAAACATTGCTGTTTAAGCAACTATATAAAGAAGCCATAATCAGGAGCCCTAGAAAGGTAGGTTTTGCTGCAATTAGAATTCGAATTTAGAGTTTATGTTGGTGACATTGCTGTTCGGCTGGTTAGTTGACGGTTTAAGGTTTTGGGGGTTCCCCTTCAGACTTCATGGTCTCAAGGTTTAGGCTTTCGCGTTGGTTTGTGTTCGTCCCGGCCGATGAGATTCAAGCCGGGTGTAGACAGTACCCCTGGTAGTCGTCGTCCTTGTCGTGGTATGTGGTCGTCGTCGTCGTCATAGTTGTAGTCGTAGTCGTAGTCGTAGTCGTAGTGGTCGTAGTAGTAGCAGTAGCAGTAGCAATAGCAGTTGCAGTGGCAGTAGCAGTAGCAGTAGGGGTAGTAAGCAGGAGTAGGAGTAGGAGTAGGAGTAGGAGAAGGGGTAGGGGTAGGGGTAGGGGTAGGAGTAGGAGTAGGAGTAGGAGTAGGAGTAGTAGGAGTAGTAGGAGTAGTAGGAGTACTAGGAGTAGTAGGAGTAGTAGGAGTAGTAGGAGTAGTAGGAGTAGTAGTAGTACTGTTGATGGAGGAAATCTTGCACCAGTTTAAGTGGCCAAGCCAAGCAGACACCCCACCCCCCTTTTTAACATTGATCGGTGATCCTCGGAAGTGCCGTGGGTTCCAATGACAAAAATCTTGCATCACCTCCGTATCCATCATCTTCAATGTTAAAAAGGGGGCGCGGGGTTATGCTCAAGTGTCGTCTCACCTGTTATTAGGCAGATGGTGCAAGATTTCCTCCATCAGCCGACAGGATCCTTCTTGCTGAGATGACCAAAGTATTCTGGCTTAGTATAAATTCCTTACATTTCCCACAGTTAACGCTCAGTTAACACTCAGTTAACACTCAGTTAACACTACAGTTAACGCTACAGTTAACACTGCCGAAATGCTGGGAAAACCAGCGTTTTCTTCAAATGTGTATAAAAGATACAAAAACTAGCAGATTTTCTTTTTTAAATGCGTGTATTCTGCAAAATGCTGGTTTTTGCGGCATTTCGGCAGTGTTAACTGTAGTGTTAACTGTAGTGTTAACTGAGTGTTAACTGAGTGTTAACTGTAGAAAAGGCACACTATGCAGTTAACACTTATTACTCTGCCGAAATGCAAGGAAAACCTGCCTTTCCTCAAATCTGTCTTACAAGTACCTCGGTCCTTGACACACAGTGACACACCGACACACATGGTGAGATGGTGAGGGATCGATATTGTGGCTTGCCATCACTTGCATATTGCTTACCGTGACAACAGTTGAAGGTACGACAGGATCCTTCTTGCTGAGATGACCAAAGTATTCTGGCTTAGTATAAATTCCTTACATTTCCCACAGTTAACGCTCAGCTAACACTCAGTTAACACTCAGTTAACAGTACAGTTAACGCTACAGTTAACACTGCCGAAATGCTGGGAAAACAGGCGTTTTCTTCAAATGTGTATAAAAGATACAAAAACTAGCAGATTTTCTTTTTTAAATGCGTGTATTCTGCAAAATGCTGGTTTTTGCGGCATTTCGGCAGTGTTAACTGTAGTGTTAACTGTAGTGTTAACTGAGTGTTAACTGAGTGTTAACTGTAGAAAAGGCACACTATGCAGTTAACACTTATTACTCTGCCGAAATGCAAGGAAAACCTGCCTTTCCTCAAATCTGTCTTACAAGTACCTCGGTCCTTGACACACAGTGACACACCGACACACATGGTGAGATGGTGAGGGATCGATATTGTGGCTTGCCATCACTTGCATATTGCTTACCGTGACAACAGTTGAAGGTACGACAGGATCCTTCTTGCTGAGATGACCAAGGTATTCTGGCTTAGTATAAATTCCTTACATTTCCCACAGTTAACGCTCAGTTAACACTCAGTTAACACTCAGTTAACACTACAGTTAACGCTACAGTTAACACTGCCGAAATGCTGGGGAAACCAGCGTTTTCTTCAAATGTGTATAAAAGATACAAAAACTAGCAGATTTTCTTTTTTAAATGCGTGTATTCTGCAAAATGCTGGTTTTTGCGGCATTTCGGCAGTGTTAACTGTAGTGTTAACTGTAGTGTTAACTGAGTGTTAACTGAGTGTTAACTGTAGAAAAGGCACACTATGCAGTTAACACTTATTACTCTGCCGAAATGCAAGGAAAACCTGCCTTTCCTCAAATCTGTCTTACAAGTACCTCGGTCCTTGACACACAGTGGCACACCGACACACATGGTGAGATGGTGAGGGATCGATATTGTGGCTTGCCATCACTTGCATATTGCTTACCGTGACAACAGTTGAAGGTACCGTAGTAGTAGTAGTAGTAGTAGTAGTAGTAGTAGTAGTAGTAGTAGTGGTAGTAGTAGTGGTAGTAGTAGTGGTAGTAGTAGTGGTAGTAGTAGTGGTAATAGTAGTAGTAGTTGTAGAAGTAGTAGTAGTAGTAGTTGTAGTTGTAGTTGTAGTTGTAGTTGTAGTAGTAGTTGTTGTTGTAGCAGTAGTAGTAATAGTGGTGGTAGTAGTAGTGGTAGTAGTGGTAGTGGTGGTGGTGGTGGTGGTAGTAGCAGTAGTAGTAATTTCAGGGGTACTACTTTTATAAGTACGACTACTATTTCTACTACTACTACTACTACTACTCCTACTACTACTACTACTACTACTATTACTACCAGTAGTACTACTAGTACTACTGCTGCTACTACTACTACTACTACTACTGCTACCACTACTCCTCTACTGCTACCATCAGCAGTGGCAGCAGTAGAACCAGTCGCAACTGCAGCAGTAGCAGCAGATCCATTAGCAGTGGCAGTGGCAGTAGCAGAAGACCCTAAACCCTAAATAACCTGAAGCCTCAAGAGCCGAGGTAATGCACAGCGAAGTGAGCACACCCGCCAGTGGCGGGTCTCCTGTTCCGAAGTACCAGGCCGGTCACCATGGTTTGGCTGTTCACGGTTGAAGGTTCCCCGTGCAGGGATCTTGTTTGCAGAGAGAGGGATATCTATATCTATACGAATGTATGTATGTATATAGTGTACATATATATATATGTAAATATCTGTGTGTATGTAAATCAATATCTAGATACATCTATATATGTTCATGTCTACGTCTGTGTCGATGTCTATGACTATGTCTATGTATATGTATAGGTAGGTGTAGGTGTAGGTGCAGATGTAGATGTATATGTATCCGTAGGTGTAGGTCTAGATTTAGATGTGCATATATGTATACACGCACACTTATATATATATATATATGTATGTAAACATATATATATATATATATAATGTAGACTTATGTTCTCTCACACACACATAAGCATTCATGTGCGTGTGTTTGTATGTACATATATGTGCGTGCCGACTGTGTGCGTATGTATGTGTTTCGCATGTGTGTGTGCGCGAATATCATACATACATATATACATATAAACACACACACACACAGAATTTCCATGTACATCTACGTTTGTGAATTTTTATGTGCGTTTGCACGAGTGAGTGCCGGGTGAGAGGGACTGGTGCTGTTTTCCTGGGGGTTTGTGGGGTTTTCAAGTTCGGCTTTGCTTTAGGGTTTAGGGTTTAGGGTTGTGAAAATTCCTGTAGCAGCCCAAAGACCCGGGGCTTCTGCACCTCAACGATAAACCCGAGCTTGGGATGTACCCTAAGCATCAAGTCCTACGGTTGATGATATAAATCCTGCATTACCTTAAGGAACCTAAACTATGGGAATTATGGTATATTCCTTATTATGGGTCATGCAGGATTTATATCATCAAGTCCTACCAGTACGCGCTTGAGTAATCTGCCAGGACCTTCTCCAGAAGCATTATCAAAAGACGCAGATACAGGCCGTGGTGGTGCTGTGCTATCGTCAGGACGGCAGGCCCCCTGGGCTCTAGGGTTTGCGTTTAGGGTTGGGGTTCAGGGTTTATGGTCAACGGACTGGGGATTCAGGGTTTAGAGTTTAGGATTCAATTTTAAGGCTGCTGGCTCTGAGGAGTTTGTGTGTCTGGAGGTTAACGAGCCAGACCCCCGGGAGGATCTAGAAAGTAGATCCCCTAATTTGGGGCCTTATACTACTAAGGGTACTTTATAGGAACCGCCATTAAGGTATCTACCCTAAACCCTCAACCCTACGACCCTATAGATCCCTTACAGGGACCCATAAAGGAACCCTTAAAAGGAACCCCCATTAAGGGATCTACTTTTTGGATCCTCCCGGGGGTCTGGGGAACTGCCTGCTTTCCGGCAGGCAGCAGCCGAAACCTGAAGGCCTCAGCCGCCCGGTAGTTAATCTAGGATGCCCAGTAGTACCCTTATTCCCTTTTTGTAGTCCTAGGTTCCTTATAAAGTTACCCAACACCAAAAAGAGAGGCCTTTTTATTCTTAGGTTACTGGGTATCCTAGTAATAAAGGCTTCTCGGTAAAAAGGGTTCTCTGGCTACAGTAGAAGCCAAAAAATTGGAAACCCGATAGCCTCAACCCCTAAGAGTAAAGTATAGGGAATCCCAGCACTATTTGTCCTTAACTAGGTTTCCAACTTTTTGGAGTTTGCTGCATATCTGTAGTATGCGTTACGAATAGGCTATACTGTGCTACAAATTCCTATAAGGGTATAAACGGTAGAAATAGTACAATACAGAATGAAAAACCATTATAATGTGATGCATTGCAATACAACGCAATATAGTATAATGTAACACATTTTCATTTCAGCGTAACATAAACATCGAACATCATATGATCGAACATAGTAGACTGCAGTATAGTACGCTACAACATAGTAGTGATAAGGCCACCGTAAGGGTTTGGTATTGCTGATTATTCCATGCCCTGTGTTAAACGATGTCTATGCCCTTTAGGTAGCACTCTTCACCGTCTACCGCCCACGCAAGGTTGTAAACAGTGACGACGCATAGAATCAATGAGCCCGCTTTCTTGCTGTGGCTGTATGACGGTCTTGGGTTGATGGCCTTAACCCCTAAACCCCTAAACCCCTAAACCTCTAAACCCGCCTAAACCCCTAAACCCCCAAGCCCTTAAACCCTTAAACCGTCCCGAAACCCCTAAACCCCTAAACCTAGGAGGGCCCCGGAGGCTCGATACCCGTTTGGGACGATTGGGTGTCTAAACTCCTCCCTGAACGGTTGATGTTATATAAATCCTGCATTGCCCATAATAAGGAATATACCATAATTCCCATAGTTTAGGGTCCTTAAGGTAATGCAGGATTTATATCATCAACAGAAGCAGTTCCCGAAACCTCCGGAGCAAAACGCAACGCTAAGTTCCGAAGCCCTTAGGCCGTAAAGCCTGAAACCTTAGGGGTACTTAGAAATAATTTTTAGTTTTTGGTTATTATAATCCCTAAGAAACAGCTAAAATTCTAATTATTGCTAGGGTTCTAAGTTCAGTATAGAAGCGGCTTAGGGTTTAGGGTTTAGGGTTCCTAAGCACCTGGACTCCAAAAATCCCTACTCCGCCTCGCAGGTCGTGGTACAACCTTGTGTCGAAGGATGGCTCGGCGATGAGCTACGCCAAGAACCATCCGGTGCCAGTGATCGAAGCCGGCCTGAAGCCAGGCAGAACAAGGTTTAGGATTCAATTGGGTTTTGGTCATATCTCTATATATACATATATACATAGCACATCTACATGTACATAAGCATAATTCTACACAGAAATACATAAATAATTAAGCATAAACATAAATATCAAAATTTATACATATGTATGTATGTATGTATGTATGAACAGATGTGTCCCTGCTATGACTGAAGCTGGCCAGAAGCCAGGGGACGCACCGCCTTCGGTGGCCTCTGTGCAAATCGGTAGTGCCTCGAAGAATACCACGGTCACGGGAGCCTGGGTCTCACCTGGTTGGATTTTTTAGGGCTTTTCTAGGGCTTTTACGGATTGTGGGGGTTTAGGGATCTTAGAGGTCTAGAGTTTAGGAGTCTAGGGTTTCGGGTTTTGGGCTTTAGAACTTCAGGTTTTAGGAGAACTGTGCAGGTTTTGGGGGTGGGAAGGGAAGTGACTTTGTGGAAAGAACACCAGCCGTAACCCAGGAACCATTTGTTTTGACACGGACTTCCCCTCGGTGACGCGCCCGATCGGTTCAGCTGATATGCTTCTGGAAAGCAGTGCCACCTGGAGTAACATCGGCCGGCAGCATCTGCACGGGCACCAGTATGCGGCGCTAGAGAATGGTCAGACCCTGGTGAAGTGCACCTACATGGGCTTCAGTGGAGCTATCAATCCTTATGGCTCCATAATCATTCAGCTTCCTCAGACCAAGAGGAACGTGGTGTACTTCCAGGTGCCACGCTTCCCCAAGGCAGCTGTTTTCCCTTGGATGTACACGGCTTTCGACATCTTCATGGGTATTTCGGCGTGTGTCTGGCTTGTCTTGGCATTGTCACCTGAAATCAGTAGCCGTGTGCTGGGCGATGGCCATCTGTAAAGGGCAGTTGCCATCGCTGTGGGACCGCCCGAAGGGCGGCGGACCCTAGCTCGCGTCCCGTTTGTCGACTTTTCACATTTTCAACACACACATCGTCTTGAAACGTCTTGTATAACTATCGTCATACATGCATACATATATACTTACTTATTTACTTTTCATACTTACATACTCACATATTTACATACATACGTACATACATACATACATACATGCATCTACCTACCTACCTACCTACCTGGATATCTATCTATCTATCTGTGTATCTGTATGTCTGCACACACACAGACACGTACGCGTGCACAGAGGCCCTAGGGCCTAAGGGCCTAGGATGGAAGTATGTGTAATTGTGTGTACCGGTATGTCCTGCGCATGGATGGGTGTTGTATGGCGTTGTTTGTGAACGGCAGGGTCTGGTATGGTACGGTATGATATGGTATGGTATTAGTATTTGTTCTACGAATGTTTGGGGAGGATGCCAGAATCCGGTCTGGTCTCCCACCGTCTCTGGAGCTTAGAGTTGCGAACCTGCAACCTTGGCGTCCGCAAACAAAGACCCAGGTGCCGCTTTCATGTAGCATACCTAGTAGTAGAGTAGGTAACCTTTAACCCTGTTTTGGGGAGTATAGTCCCTATATAACCCCTATGTAACCAAAAAGGTTAACCTTTAGTTCCCCATGATACCCGACAAGTAGGCTTAACGGTGGTTGACAGTATTCTACAGTAGTCAGCAACTTCGGAAGCGGGAACATACGACAGAGACCTGGACGGAAATTTTCATTGTCGAGGGCGCACGCCGTAGCGAAGAATCGCTCTTTCGGGTCGAATAGTGGATTCTTAACAAGGGAGGTCTTGACTCTGGAATACTGGGCCTCGTGCCGCTATGTATGTCTGGCATACTGACGGACTTTGGAAACTCGGGTTTCACTACCTCATAGGAGGCCACAAGGGGTTTTAGCCTATGGGGGTTTAGTAGGGATTAGGGTTCCCATTATGGAGTTCACATTAAGGAATCCCTACCCCAAGAGAATCTTAAACCCCCATTTTGGCCTCCCATCACTACCGAACTCAGAACTCAGGCTTCGCACCGCCCATGCAAGCATCCGAGCACTTTGAAAGTCCCAGACTCTAAGCCTAAGCCCCTTAATAAAGGCTAAGCCCTTAAAGCCTAAACCCCCAGTCCATAAACAGAAAACCCAAACTCCAAACCCCTAACCTTAAACCCCTACTTAAAGGACCATGGGACTTAGTAACCAGTAACTATACTTATAACCCCAGTTAAGGTACTCATAACCTTACTCACTAAGTCCCATGATCCTCCAAGTACAGCTCCCCTACTTTCGGTTGAGGTTCGGGGTGCTCTTGACCGGAAGCCAGAGCTGAACCTTACTCCAGCACTGAAACCACCCAGAGAGCCCCCTTAATAAAGGAATATGGCTTAAATTACAGGGCTGAATATTATGGTTTAAGCTATATTCCTTATTTAAGGGGTATTGGGCTCTCTGCGCAAGATAGTATCGGTTGCATGGTAGCTGGGCACCTTCCAGTTTGTTATGGCCTCACAGTTTAGGGTTTAGGGGCTGTTTGTTCCAATACACACTGACTTGACTTAGGTCACGCGTCACGGCGTTTCTGTCCTCCTTCACGTTCATGGCTGCTTGGCTGAACTCTCAACCCTAAACCGTGAACCCCTAAGCCCCTTAACCCTTAAACCTCTAAACCCAAAGCCCGTAAACCTGTCAACCCCTGCACCCCTAAACCCCTGAACCCTAAACCCTGAATCCTATACTACCAGTGTACGAATAGCTTGCGAGCCACAATTTTTAACCCTAAACTTGAAAACCCTGCATCCTAAGACCCTTAACTTGAGTTTGAAAGTGCGCTAACCCTAAGCCCTGAACCTGAAACCCTAATGTAGGGGCCTCAGTAATTACCTATACTATTTGGGGGTTCCTTAGTAGAATTATAGCATAGTGGGACCCAAAACCCTATTCTAATTATTCAGGCCCCTACATTAACCAAGGATGCTCGTGGGCAAGACCCGACATGGTTCAGGGTAGTCTTTTTCCCAGTCAGAATCACGCCCTGGGCGTCTTCGTAGGTGCCTGCCAAACTCCCTGCCCCAGAACCTTAGCCGTCAATCTTTTGGACCTCCTGCTCTGACTTGGGAAGGTAGCGAAAACTTTCAAAACACCCTGAACCCTAAACCCAGTGTCAGGTTGTCATGGAGACCCTCAAACCCCGCAGGTATCAAGCATGCTGCAATGAAAGTAGGGGTTCTGACAGAAAGAGAATCGATAGCCCATAAGTCCAAAACCCTACACCGTAAACCAGGGTTTGAGCCTGTGGGCCCTCGCAAGTGAGGCTTCCGACCCTACTTCTACGTAACCAAGCCGTCTGGCGAGGCGTGTGCAGACGGAGGGGAGAGGTTTTCCAAGCCTTGTTCGATGTCTGTATGCGGAGTTTCCTTTTTGGTTTCCGTGAAGTATCCGAATTTTCTGCCTAGCGGGCAAGACGCCCAAGGATGTTGCAAGGCCTCCCTAACTCCATTGCATATGGGCCCTTGTTCTCATGATTTATTGAACTCTGTGGATAAGATGTCCAGGATCCAGCGCTCTTCATCCTTGCTGCCTAAAAGCCTTGTAACTTCAAAGCCTGCCTAGACCCCCGCCCAAATTGCACACTGTGATCTTTGCTGCCCGCCTATGCATCTGTCTGTCTGTCTGTCTCTCTACCTCTCTTCTCTCTGTCTCTCTATCTCTCTCTCTCTCTCTCTCTCTCTCTCTCCTCTGTCTATCTCCCTATCTGTCTATCTCTCTATCTCTTTATCTCTCTATCTCTATATTCTCTACATCCATCCCTTTCTCTGTCTGTGTGTTCATTTGTCTGGCTGTCTATCCATCCATCTGTGTCCATCTGTGTATCTGACTATGCCTCTCTCCATCCATCCGTCCGTTCGTCCGTCCGTCCATCCATCCATCCATCCCTATGCATCTATCTATCTGTACAAAGATGGCGTGCGCCTGCGGCAGAGAGAGAGAGAGAGAGAGAGAGAGAGGGAGCGTACACCAGCATATCTTACACATAAACTCCTAGACAGATGAAAAAGCCTATGTACATGTGCATTTATACACATAAATTCATATAGTTACGCACACATACATATGTGTGTGCGTGTGGGTGTCTGTAAATGTAGATATTCTCATGCGCACATAGTCTGTGTATGTATATACAAAGATATTCAAATACATGTACGTACATACGTAAGTACGTGCATACATATGTACGTATATATGTATGTATGTATGTATGGCGCAGACAAGCGCAGCGGGTGTTTTGTTGCTGAAGCCGCGGCTTGTAGACTTTTTGGGTTGGGGTTCCAGGAAATCCCGCAACTTGACTGTGGTTGGGGCCGGCTCTATGACACTATAAAACCCTAAACCCTACATACACTTAAATCCCTTATAGGCCAGGGATCGTCAGAAGGTTGAGGAGCTGATGGGTTAACCCTTGCAACGTTCTTTGGGTTCGCTTGTTTTTGGGTTTGGGGTTCATTCGGTTTGCGGTTATTTGGCTTGAGGGCATCGGGTTTTAGCTGTTGCTTGGAGGTTCACGGGTAGTGTAAGTAGGGTTACAAGTGGGATAAGTATGGTTATAACCTCTTTACGGGACTTATAACCCCACTTATAAGTACCTATGAACCTCCAAGTGTGCCACATGATTTCAGAGTTTCGGAGGCTCGGGTTGCGGAGTCGTCCGTCAAGCTTGAACTGCTTCAAGAGGGGTGTCGTACATGAACATGCAGGATGAGTGCTTGGAGGTTCATGGGTAGTTATAAGTAGGGTAACTATGGTTATAATCTATATCATATAAGGGGACTTAGAACCTCACTTGTAACCACCCAGGAATCTTCAAGTGGGCCTAGGCTTGTAAGCTTCAGGGTTAGGTCTGTCGGAAGCTTCATAAGGGTTCAAACACCTCAACCTAAACTCTCTGGTTCTTAGTAGGGAATTAGGGAATGGATCATGGGGACTATCATTGGGGATTAGATAGGGACTACTATAGGGATCCATTCCCCCGTTCCCTACTAAGCGCCAGACAGTAAACTGATAAATTCCTCGCTGTGTTCCGCAACCTGCTCTCCCTAAGCCCTAAACTGTATATAAACACATAAACGGGTAACGCCTAAACCCTAGACCCTAAACCCCTAAACCCGGCAGGCATCAAAAAGGAGCTTAAAAAAACCCTAAACCCGTAAACCCCTTAATCCCTTAACAAGAACCCAGATCTTTCTGTGTCCCTGATCAATCTGAGGCCTTTGAGGCATCTTCTGAAGTTCCTTTTTTCATTGCAATGCAGCAGCCCATCCCTATTTTGGGGGCTCCTCCTTAAAGTTATAGTCGACTGTGCACCAAAACCCTATTCTAATTATTAAAGTCCCAAAATTAGGCCTTACCCTACACCCTAAACTTTAGGTCGAGAGTATCACCTCGCCACGCAAAGTCTTCCGAGGTGGATTTGGAAGCTTGCCTTCAGTCACTGGACCGTGTGGTCCGCAGCAACGACGGCGGCGTCGCGACATGTCATGGCAAAGTAAAGTCTTCGTAAGGTAGTACACTGATTAAAAATTCCCTGGCTTCGGGCGGGCATCAAGATCAAGATACTCACTTATTTGATCACTGTTAAGGTAGGGGGGCGTATTGATCAGAGGTCTACACGAGTCTACATGACTAGCATCCCCTAGCAGTCGCTGTATGCAGCTAGCCTGTACGAAGCCCCAAACCCGGTTCAATTGATAACGACCTCTGTATTATGATGCCCCTCTGAAAGGATATTCACTGGCTAGGGTGACCGAACGCGGAAAAGCATCAGCGAAGCTGTCAGGTTCTAGGGCTCAAGAAGTAGATTGTGCGTGGGCGGGGGGGGGGGGGGCAGACAACTACAAACACTATTTCCCACGGATTCTGAACTAGAACCTCTGGGGGTTTCCGAAAATAGGG